AGCAAGTCAACAAAATGGACAAAGCCGAATCCAAGAACTCTGCTTTCAAACTGTTTGTGAATTCTCCTATGTCTGTACTTATATAACATATAGACAGCATATGGTAGCTCTCAAGTCGGTATGCGTCCAGTGTGATCGGTCTCCAGTGAATCTTGTTTGGATTCAGTGTCTTGTATCTAGTTGCTTTGTTGGGCGCATTCATTTCGAAAGTTCAGTGTGTGGTTGTTCTGTTTTGGTTCGATTGTCTTCATCTGGCTTTCTGGTCGGAACACAATCCGTTAATTGGAGAATTAGGGGTCGTCTGTTTATTAAAGATTCTATTCGTAACGCTCTAGTAGCGTACACGAGGACCCCGGGACCATCAACGGGTCACTCCGCAGAGGTGACACATGAACTTCTGAATCCGAGCTTAGCAATCTTGTTAAACTTTACTAGAGAATATTGTGAACAAATTAAAGGACCACCAATGAGGTCACAAATCTCTGGATTCATCGCGTAACTGCAACGCTGGAACCGGAGCGGATTGTGCGATCAGTTATCAAGCTGAAAATATGGATACGATATGTGCACGGAACATTTGCCTCTGTAACTAAACACGAGCTGTGCCAAGCGAACAAACTGCCAATCATCGCGTTACCTGGCGTCACAGTGATTATCCTTAATGTGCTTGTCACAAGGGAGACAAACGGCTACACACTCAAGTATACAGAAAAACCGCATGGAGTTCAAACTATGAACCACTAGAGCAATCATCCGAGCTGCCACAAACACTGGAGAGTTTGATCCATATTCTAGTGGATGAAGGCGCATAGCAACACGGAAGGGACGAAGGGTAAATAAAAGAGAAGTCTGTACGAGATATCTCGAAATAACGGTTACCAGGCGCTTTTTATACGGATGGCTCACATGACCATTACCAAGTGATTCGTCAGCACAATGCAAACAGTGAAAAATTACGTTAAGAAACATCAGAAGCTTTGCGCAGATGACCGCACGACATCTACGGCAACATTGAACCAACTGTTGACTTTAAGCCGCAAACATGTTGGGAAAAACACACTCAAAACCAAAGGAAATTTACATGCAGTAAAGAAGAGTAACGTGGTCTGCGAAATTAAGTGTGACGGACGGAACAAACACTATCTTGTCCAAACTGTAGAAAACACGAGAGTAAGTTTCCCAGTGGACGAAAGCGTAGCATTGAGAAACGTTTCAAATACTTGCATACGCAAGAACAACACGGGATTAAGGGTTTCCCGGGGCGAGGTGCACCGCAAGAAATTCGATTACTAAACATGTTTACGCTAAACAAATCTATCAGCCTAAAAAAATAATAACTGCAAATCATAAGGCATATGGAAAATTAAGGAATCCAGCAGCAACCAACGGACTTACGCGATCAATAGAGAGAAATATACCAGAAACAAGAACACGGAATCAACCAATCAGGGGACAAAATCCAGACCACGAAATCCGAAGAAATCAACCGAATTACAGCGCAACAATCACACCCCGATATGTGGAACAGAATGCGCCTAGCGAAACAATTATATTCAAGATTTTGAGGCCAACTCAGATTTAGAAGTGACAAATACAACCACACAGAGACCGACCTCAGAGGTCACAGAGCTGGTTAGAAGCGATACAAACAGAGGAAGATAAAAGAAGTTCACCCACTTAATCACGCTATGACGATGTTACTTGGATAAGAATAGAAACGTTTAAAACGCACCTCTCAAGATGGGCGAACAGACCAACAACCACTAAGCGAACATGAGCTACCTATCTTCCAAAGCGTTTAAAATTATCTTGAAATCCTAGCGTAACTGTTCAAAGGCTTAGGACTGCCCTTTTTCATATTGTTCAGCTAAACTTGCGTAGTCAGTTGAAGCAAGTTGAACCAAAATCCCTATGCATACCAAGTAGACATGCCAAACCCGCTGCACATACGCCGAGTCACACTGTTTTTCCTCTTTATTCTTCCGCATTTCATAGGCTGCAAGCGACTGCCCGGCTTGACCTATTGGTTCGTCATTGCAAAGCTTCCAATTGTTCTTCTCAGGTGATTATTTTCTGTGTGTTTAAAGCTACTGTGAATGCACTTTGAACTGACCATAATTAAACATCAAATGAATACGCACTTATCTGTACACTTCTAGGCAACCTGAAGATTTGTTCTGTAAAACTTATTTTTGTTTGTCATTTTAAAAAGTAATTGCGTTTGAAGCCACGTAGGTTTTGTCGGGCCATGAAATATCAATCACGGGCTTGTGAACAAAATTAGAAAATGTGGTTCCTACAACCCACAGAAATCAATCACCACGGGCACACCGCAAATGACATGTTTCCATTAACCGTTGAAAAACTTTACAGACAAAGTTTGCTACTTGAGAAAATGGCTAGTCAACTATTCTTTGAATATAATAAGTCTGTAGGACTTGAAATTTTATTTGAATCATATCCCCTTCAGTATCAAAGTACCGAATAAATAGTGTTATGAAATGGATTATATCTTAAGGTCTACAGTGACTGTATGGGAATATGCGCGCCACGATATAACGAATCGACAGATATTAAACAGTCCTCTCAATGCATGGTTTTGTCCCGCTGACCCACTCATTTAATAGGGCGCTGACAAAGGAGGCATTAAATTGGTCACCCATCGGGAGTGCTTTCACCCCCCGGTATTAGGATGTCTTCACGTTTCTAGGGCATTATTTAGATCGACACTTCATTTAAAAGTTTCCCCATCTTCGGGAAAACAAACCGAAAGACAGTGGAATCGCCCGATTTAATTCATCGAGACTCCACTTCAAGAATGAACTGTCACGACAATGACCATAAATGACTGACTCCTCCGCGGCTACTGTGATCTTCGTTTGATTTAAACAGTAAGTTGGGCAGTGCGCGCCGTTTTTGCTATGGCGGTTTCATTATGGCAGAAAATACCTCATTAGATTGACCAATTAGTAGGGCCTAAATAAGGCTTTTTTCCACGGGTAAGTACTCGGGGGTGTTCCATTCACACGCATTTAAAGAGCATTTGTAACCCTCAAGTGAAATTCTCGCAGCCTAAACACTTGAAAGCGAGCGGAGGGATTCATTACGGTTTCGCGTCCGGTACGTGCAAAATCTATCGAAATATCTAACAGCAAACAAATGATTACCGGAGCAAAAAGTATCTGATGTATTTTGCTTTGATTTCAGATTTGTGAACAATTAGGCACGGCAGAAATGAAAACGGAAAATATGGCATGGACGGAACCTAACCACTTAATGTCACAATTCCTCACACAATTTAATCCGCTTTCGAAATAACGATTATAAGTGGTCGCATGCTATGGATTCCCCATTTAACAAAACATAGTAAACTTCATCTATTTTGTGAGTAACAACTGACGCTGTGCAACACAATGTAACACTTGAATTGAAATATTCTCTTCTCTAGCGCGCATTGACGGGTAAACGATAATTAATAAAATCAATAATATTCCAATTCTGCAGTTGCAAAAAGATTGGAAAATTGCAGCGTGCATGATCAGTATTTCCCCGGGAATGTTATTTATTTTCAGAGGTGCTATGACTACTTGTGATGAATGTCGAATCCTGCGTGGTTGAGGTTGAGCACACATAGTTGCCTACAATGAAGAATTGCAGTTAGGGCGCGAGAATAGCGGCATCCACGTCTTCAGATAAGGTGGAAACAATCAAGTGCACCACGTGTTTGGGTGCAATCACACACATTAACACGAATCGTGCGCGGGTTCTCAAGAATGTTTGCTGAAATCCGCGAATTTCCATCAGAATCAATTTAAACTTCCCATATCGCGCTTATAGACTTTAGGACAGTTATTCGTGCTTTTCGACCTTTAACGGCTTATTTTGGGTTCACTCCAGTATAACTAATATAATGAATGCTGTTCGACTAGTCATTGTCGACTGGATTTTGATGGAATATCTAAACATGGAGGAAATACCAAGTTGTTGCCCCCACTTTTACTTTGTTGCATCGAATGCCAAATGAAATGCGGCACGTCGCATTTTGTGGCGGAAAAAGTACAGCGAAAATACTGCGCACCCCAAACCATCAAAGCACCCAGTTTCACTAAAATTTCGAAAGATTAAGCATGTAAACTGGTGGGGCGCTAGGTGTACACTTAGGATATCATATGCAGTTTCTAATGGGAATATCACACCGAATCTTGTACATTGTGATCTACGTGAACTTGATACCAGTTTATCCTAGCAATTTCCAAGTTTTTATCACCAACACGTGGTTCGCAAAATTCTGGCGGCAAATAATTTTAAACGTTAACTGGCAACATATGGGGGCTCTGAGAGACCAAATCATCCTCAGTGTGACAAAGTGTGATATGCTTGCTCAGAATGTGCTGAATGGTCCATGGTCATCAGCTTTTTATACTTTTCATTTCAAACAATGGGAGAGTATTTTGATTGCGAACGATACCTCTCATGAGGCTTGCTTCCTTAATATGAAATTTCAATGCTAATTGTTTGTTCCTCAACTGCGTAATCAAGCAGCGATTTGTAAACCATTCCCTGCGTTCTGCAAAATTGAACGAAAAGTATTCATATACTTGCTCCAAATTAAAACTGCAGAAATAATCTGTTGAAAAGTACGCGCAATACGTACGCGGGTGTCCCACAGACGGCCGAAAAACTGGAAGACACGTGGCACAGTTGATAGTTTTGAACATTTCAAAATAACCTATCGCATTTCAAACATTGCTTGCTAGAGTTGAACGCAAAAGAAAAATATAACCAGCATGTTTTCAAGCCCGGTTTAACATGGAAATACATCTCATTGCTTCGCAAACTCTTGGCACAAAAATTCTTGGAATGGCGACGATGCGATCCCTGTTACTTATGAATAAAATATGCGGAAGCCTGTGCACTCATATGCCTCAATGACATATATATCGCAACGTACATTCAAGTTGATTGTTGCTCCATACGCTAAAACTGCACAGAATAACACAACTGATAACGACAGGTTTGTGTGATATTCATCAAATACAAAACTCAGCCTTTTTTAGCCAGCATGCAAGACGAATGCAATAATCGAACCAAAAATAATATTTTGAAAAAGGGCAAAATTATAGGCATTTTCCTCCTATCAGGCTCTAGGATTTGGGAACATCTAATTTCCTGTCAATCTAGAGTAACGAGTAGGCCACATCCAATCCGAGCACCACAGTATAAGGAATTGGTAGTGAATTGAATGGAGCACCGCAACTTTAATAGCTACCCGCACTTTTGATAGCTGAGCTGTTTGGAAAGATCCTAATCATGCCTGCGTGGAGCATGGCAATGTGTCGTTTGTTGTGCATTTAGTAACACCGATTCTGCGGCAACGTAAGTGGCAACAGATGGAGCTGACTTTTGATCACGATTTTTTCATTTACGCGGAGATTCTCAAGGTTTTCTGTTTTCGTTTGACATAGATAATTATTTGTAATGGTTACTAATCCTTCTCGGTGTAACGCACAAAACGCTTGAAAATATCTCCGACCTAATCTCCCTTAATTCAACTGCATGAACTTAAATGTCCCACCCAATTCCGCCTGCTATTCAATGACATTTTACCATTATCGCATTACCCCATCTCTATCCCATCCAGTAAAACATTGCCTTGCACAAACTATGAACAAGTTATTGGTTTCTCAATTGAAACGTATTATCATTTGTTTAAAGTTAATACTTGTGGCACTTTCCGAACTGGTTACCCACGTTTAATACTCGTCTCCGTGTTTGTGGAGGGTCCAACTGTCGGTCGATAACTGTCAAGGTTTGTTGTACAGGTACATCAATTGATTTATCGATGTTTTGTCGTATAGTACAGCGCATTTCCGTTTGGATCACTTTTGTTTTGAATTCGGATCCATTCTTCAGTGCTCGCTGCTCGACTTATAGATTTTGTCGCTTACACTCGGTGCTGCATCAACATTTGCTTTTGACCATCCTTAGTTCCTAGGTGCAAAACGCTGTACATCCGACTCTAAAAAATCACCGATTTTGGGTTTATTCAAGCGATATTCATTTCTTTTTAAGTGTTTCCGGTAAACACTTGATTCTTTGCACTTCCTTCATTATTCGGCAAAACTTCCTAGTTGGTCGGAGTTGTTCCGGTCAACTTCCTTGAACATACT